TGTTTTATTGCTCTGCCACCCCAGTAAACATCATTGCAGCTTTTGTATTCCAAATGCTACAGTGTTCCTTTAAATTGGCACTGTCATCCCCTTCCTGAAAAATTTGTATTTGATAACGCTAGAATCTTTATGAAATTCCAACCCAGTCAAGAGATATACGGAAACAAAGCAGGTATTACTTTGTCTCCATATATCTCCTCTGCTTAACTTTCTTAGGCTCTGCTTAGGACTACAGAGTAAATTCCAACAGCCGTCACTAATACAGCAGAGATGTCAGGTGCGCTGAAGCGTCAGTAGCTAAAGAAGACCCCCCCTGCTCTCCAGACCCCAGTGGTGATGTCACCATTGGGGGTCTCTACGAATTCAAAAAAGTTCCTAGACGGTGACAGTTCCGCTTTAAGAAAGTTGTTTGCTAAAATAAAACTAGAAGTCTTGGAGTTGTAGCTAAATTTTAGTGGCATTGTAGCTGATCACCATTGTCAACACACTTTATTAAAACATGGGGACTTTAACTATCAAACCTGACTTTCTGCTCTTTCCATAACGTGATTTACTATTCTCTCCAGTTCTGCTCTACTTTTTAGTTTTCCGCTTTGTCTGCTGAGTAATACAGTGCGGATTTTTTGTTACATGTTATAATATACATAATTGTGTTTTAAGATTTTTTGATGATTTCATTAAATTACAGTTTCTAAAGATAATCAGATTCAAAGTGTTCTAGTTTATAAAATTGTGTATGCGAGATTGACAGACTTCCTCGAGTCCAACTCTCTGCTAGACCCGCTTCAGTCTGGTTTCCGCGCTAAGCACTCTGTGGAAACGGCACTGACCAAAGTATCCAATGATCTACTCGCTGCAAAATCTCAGCTTCTTCTCATCCTCCGCAATATCGGTCTACAAGATATTGGTCTCTCCTGGTGCTCCTACCTCTCCCAGCGCTCTTTCAGTGTTTCTTTCTCTGCCTCTGCTTCTTCTCCCCAACTTCTCTCTGTTGGTGTCCCCCAAGGTTCAGTCCTTGGTCCCCTACTGTTCTCCATCTATACTGCCTCCCTTGGTAAACTCATTAGCTCCTCTGGCTTCCAATATCATTTCTATGCAGATGACATGCAAATCTACCTGTCCTCTCCTGATCTCTCCCCGTCCCTCTTGACTAGTGTCTCTGACTGCCTCTCTGCTGTTTCTAGCTGTATGGCTGCCCACTTCCTTAAACTAAACTTGACCAAAACTGAAATTCTGGTCTTTCCTCCCTCAAGTGTTGTTACTCCTGTATCTGTCCCCCTCCAAGTCAACGGTGCTACCATCAGCTCCACCACGCAGGCTCGCTGCCTAGGTGTTCTCTTTGACTCCAACCTCTCCTTCAAGCCTCATGTTCAATCTATCGCCAAATCCTGTCATTTCCATCTCAAAAACATTGCGCCCCTACTTAATGCCAGATGCGACTACGGTGTTTGTCCATTCCACTGTCCTTTCTCGCCTTGACTACTGTAATCCGCTTCTCAGTGGTCTTACGTGCTCCCAACTTGCGCCGTTATAGTCCATAATAAATGTGGCGGCGAGGCTCATCTTCCCGTCCGCCCGCACCTCCCATGCCTCACCCTTCTGTCAGTCCCTACATTGGCTTCCTATAAAATATAGAGCTCAATTTAAAATTCTGGTTCTTGCTTTCAAAGCTCTACATAATGCAGCTCCCACCTATCTATCCTCCCTTATACACAAGTATGTCCTGTCTAGGCCCTTACGATCTGCTGAAGACTTACATCTATCTTCTGTCCGTACTCCCACCTCTGATGCTCTGATTTCTCGAGGGCTGCACCGTTCCTGTGGAACTTGCTTCCCTCCTCCGTTAGATACTCACCCAGTCTCCACTCCTTCAAAAAATCGTTAAAAACCCACTTCTTCATAAAAGCGTATCAATTAAACTGATAATAGCTCCTGACTGATTCCTCTTCTGCAACTGTCACTAGTCTAATACTATCCTTACCTTTTTGTGTTATTTTACCTCACTCCCTCTAGCATGTAAGCTCATTGAGCAGGGCCCTCTGTTCCTGTGTGTCCAACTTGTCTGGTTCCAACTACATGTCTGTTCGTCCACCCATTGTAAAGCGCTGCGGAATTTGACGGCACTCTATAAATATCACAATAATAATAATAATAAACCTCCTGTAAATTGGATTTTTAAACTGATTTGGAAAAAAATATACTTTATTTCCAGTGAACTGAGTAATATTTGAGTTTGGTAGGGTCAGATTTTTTAATAAGGCAGAGTAGACATATGCCTACAGGTGCCCTTCATCAATTTTCATTTTTAAATATGATGGTCCTGTACCTGCTGACAGAGAGGGAGGGGATGCTGTGGAGATACAATTCTCTCCTCATGTGAAGTACGCCATACAGGTACGCCTTGCAGCAGCCAGAACTTTCTCTAACCCTCATCTTCCTGTGATCCTGTGCATAGGCATTTTGAGAAGGAGCTGAGCCTCTGTTTGGTAGCTGGCTGTAACTCTATGTGCGATGGGTCAAAGGTGCATTGCCACCAGGTAAGCAGCCTCCTTACCTGCCGGATGGAATTGCACCTTCCATGCCCAATCCCCTGAAACCCCAGTAGGAGCCATGGACAGCACAGAAGAGTCTTTTAAGGTAGGTGCCAAAAAATTTTGTTATGCTGGTAATGTATGTGTACTTAAAGGGCTCTAACATTGTCTAAGCTGAAAACTTTGCATAATTTGCAGAGACCCCCAACACTGGTATTGCCGCTCGGGTTTCTGTGGCCATGATCTTCTGTCTGGTCCTCTTTAACTCCAGGTGCTACAACTGCAAAGAGCCAACATCAGCACTGTACTCTTGCGCTTTCTAGACTGTGTAATCTTCCATAGAAATAGTTTTTTTCAACTACAGCCATCACTGGTTAGGCCTGGGGGGAATTATATGCTTGAATTATATCCCTTTTGCCATGCTTTGTCAGGCAAAAATAGTGAGACAAAGTAGTCTCTACCTAGTCTTAGTCTATCTTTTAACTGAGTTGGAAATTCAGTGAAATCCCCACACAGTCAACGTGAGTATTTTTTTTATAAAGATTTAATTTTTTTTCCTGAAAGTCATTTTATGGGGGTGACAGAGCTGCTTTAAGAGCTATTACTGACTTCTGAAATCTAAATAGCTACTCAAGCTTACCCTTAAACACTTTTCTCCATCCAACTCCAAACATCTCTTGTGTCAGTCTGGAAAAGGTTGATCACAGGGGATATGCGCATGCACAGGTTAATTATTTAAGTTTAAATAATGTGACTTTTACAGCTTTACACACAGACTATTTTACAAATCATGGATATTCAGAATTTTATAAGTATAATTTATGAATTTTCTTGTGTTATGCCAATCATTTGATCGTCAATGTCTTTAAAAACTTTACTTACGTGTGTGTTGATATTCAGTGTGTTTAGGTAAACAGTGATCAGGCCTAATGTTAATAAGTAAGCAATGCAAAAGGAGAATGTCACATTTTAGAGATAGATTTGTAATATATTAACTGCTAAGGAAACTGCTTCATCATGATCAGTAGTCACATTGAAATCATACTTGGTTTCTTAATAAAGCTTGCCTTTGTTGGTTACAACACATCTGTCATATGGCAATGTCTGGAGAGGTGAGGTGTCATGTGCTGATCTTTAAATGTAATGTAGACCTTTGAACAAACCAGTTTATTCTAAGGTATAATGACTGCCCAGTAGGATAAAGTGGAACACAAACCATTTCCATGCTGACCAAAAGTTATTCAATAACAATAATAATAATGATGATAAACAAAAGTAACTACAATGAGTATGTGTGCATTCTAAGAGAAGGTTATCTTCTTGTTTTGAAGTCTCACATTTTGAGGAATAAAATATTAATAAAAATACAATTTAAATATAAATTTAATAAACAATCCAAGGTGGAATTTCAAACTGTAATATTCTTGTCCTTAAATGCTACAATTTGGTATTTTATCAGAGTTATTTTAAATTCACTTCATCTCAAATTCTCACTTACGTGAATAACTCTTTCATTTTTAATAATTTGTTATTTTTTTATATAAAAAAAACACAAAATGGAGAAATAAAGTAGACAGATTGCAGGTACGAGGACGGATACAAGTCAAGGGTTCATGAGCTGCACCACTGTAACCACCTAATAGGGAGCTCCAATGAGGGGGTAACCCTCCAAAATATGTTAGAAATAGGAGCAGGTGATGTATAGAGCCCAACAAGGGGAAACTAACATCAGGAGAGCTCCACTGTATAAGAAATGAGGAAGGAGGACCCTACCTTGTTCAATCTAAGGATAAAAAGGATATGCAAACAAAAAGTATAACTTGAGAAAAAAAAGGAGATCTACTAAATGGTGCCCAGGGGATCAATTGTCTGGAGTACTAACTAGCATCTAAGTTCCAGTTCCCCAAGTCTCCGACGGATGGGAAGGTAGTGTAAACGAGGTTAGGGAGAGAGAAAAGGCACAGGGTCCCCAGAGAACAAGAGCCTCTCTCTATTTGGAACTGCCTAGTTTTGTGGTGAAATGCGTGAGTGTTACTGCTATTGTCTAATTTTTATTGTTTTACATTAGAATAAAGATAACTAGAAACTCCAACAATTTTAAGTGTAACTTTCTCTGTATTGCATTTCTCAAGAAACATTACCTGGGATATTTGTCCATACAACCTACATTTACGATATCCACTTACATCAACAAAGAATATCAAAACAGAGTGTCCATGTAGTATTATGGTATAAATTCAGCATTATGCTAGTCAGTAAAATGATACTAAACCAATAAAATAAAATAAAAAATAGTTATGGGCAAATCAGGGTTATTTTCTGTTAAAGTGTCCAAGGGAGCCACTTAAAAGAACACAAACATCCAAATATATTTATGTTTAATGTTAGAGTTCCAGAAGCTTAGAGTATGCCCCTTCCCTGCACCCTACCCATAAAAGAAAAGAATTCAATTTTTACTTACCAGTACCCCAGGAAATAGCACACTGTAGGCACCCAAACCCCTTCAGCTAATTGAAGTGGTCTGGGTGCTGTGTCCCTTTTGCACTTAGTGCTGCAATGTAAAACAATGCAATGTTTACATTGCAGCTCTAAGTCTGAACTCAGTGGCTGTCTACCAGCAAGCCACTAGGGGGCTTCCTGAATTGAAACGGACCTTTGGCCTGGTAACTGACCCTGGATATCCTCACGCTCTGCATGAGGGCATCCAACGTAAGATTTTTCCCCATACGAAAGCATTGATATTACACTGCTAAAGTCTAACAATAACCTATTTTTCTTCTCTAATCTTGAAGTTAACCCCAGTATTGTCATTTCTGTATCTTAAATTGTCCATAAAGTCTGTATATGTCCCTGGATACCACCTGTGGGTTATATGCATCCTGTATTACTAAACAAAATATGCCATCCCTAATCCAGGCCCTCTACTCCTTCAAGTGATGAGCTAGGTAAGTTACACTGTAGTTATGCATCCAGGTTTAACTTAAAATGAATTTTAAAAAGACAAAACATGAATAGCTTTTGGGAAATGAGTGGAATATGGAATGGGTGCGGACATTTGAACTATTGAACCAACATTCTGGTTTCTCCTTTATATATATAAAGGAAGATCATGACCGCTGCCCAGGGATGGGGGTTGGCCCTACAAAGATACTTAGTTTCTATCTGGGAGTACTCGATAAAAAGGAACAAGGACAGAGGGGACTTGCCAGACAGTGAAGACAAGTTGAGGGATCCTAACTTTCCTGCCCTCCTGTCCATTAACAGGTTGATGTGGTATTTGTTTCTGGTGCTGGTGTCTTTGTGTTCTTGTTTTGTCACAGCTTGCAGTTCTTCCTGGCCTTCCTGGAAATGCCAAGGCAGCTTGGGGAGCCGTAGCCTGCCAAAAGCTGATGGTGGGAGGCAAGCTGGCCTGGACTCTTGGATAACGGATTAGAGCTGTCTGTTTGAGAACACCCCAACAGCTGACATAGGAATTTGCTGGCATGGTTATGTTATGGTTAAATAAAGCTGTGGCCATTGCCCTTACCCAACTTATTCATGTCTGGTGTGCTTTATTTGGGCAATGGGGAATGAAGGGTTATGGTGGGTCAGCAGTCATGCTTACACACTAATTCTTCATCAACTCGCCTATCTGCCAACCTGCCTGATTATCAACTCCTACCTATGGCATATCAGGCAAAGAATTAAAAATAATAATTTAACTACCCAATCTCACCTCATATCTGGGATATATTTAGAACATGGAATGAATAACTTTGATGTGATTGCATCAAAGGTATGCAGTACAAATCCTATTTTAACTGGTTTGAACCAGATAATTCACATTTTCATCAAATATTTTCTCTTGCTTTACTATTAACTGTTCAACACAGTAGCACAACAAACATGTTTTAGCTGGCACCTTTACAAAGTCCTGCTTTGTTTCTCAGAAACGTGTTACTGCTAAACAAGATATTTTCTTATTAATGGACATTTTTGCACCGAAATTGGAATTAAATACAATACTTTTTATTAATTTTTCGGTTACTTTATTTCTTAATAATAAGCAAAGAAATTTGTGTATATATCTTAATTTTTTAATACACATTGTACTCTGTAATTGTCAAAATATATTTTTAGATCAGTGTAACTAGTATGAATTGTAACGAACAACTCAAGACAGAGTAAATGACTAACTAAAATGTTTTAAGAATTCTTGTTTTTAGGTTCTTGGAAAAGTAGCTCATCCTACACTTTCTATTATTCAACTGGATTTATTATATAAACACAAAGGTCAACATTACCTCTTTAGAAAGACCATCTGAACACCAAATCCACTTCATCTTAATGTGGCGATGTTGGGTACAGACGTTCTCCCTTATTTTAGACATTGTAAAACATTGCCATTGACCAAACAAAAAACATGCGCACTTCACTGCCTCTTACCATGTGCCCAGGACACTTTACTATCTGTTTACTAAAGGGGGGCATTCAAAGTGAATGTAGGGCTGTAGTGTGCATGTCTGTAGGCTATAGAGACTGATAGAGTGTATAGATGCTGTAGTGTGTGTAAACTGAGTTAAACGAGTGTGTGCATAGCGGCTGTAGTGCATGTGTAGGGGCTGTAGAGAGTGAGTGTGTCTGTGTGGGTAGGGGATCTAGTCTGTGCATACTATATAGTGTGTATATGGCACAGACTCTGTGTGTCATGGATTTACTGTATGTGTCATACAGTGAAGGTACTATGTGTGTATTGAGCACAAGAGAACAGATATACTTACACAGCCACGACAGCTAAGCAAAAACCGCACATTTAGACATAATACAGTCATGGTATTAAAGACATTTGCACAGTTTTCTTTAAAATATAAACAAAAAGTACAGTAAGCAGGCTAGGTAACTGACTAGGCAGAGAGGAATTTAACGTTTGCTAAAACATGCTTCAGTACAAGTGTGATTAAATTTCACTTGGGTGAAAGCAGTTTGTTTACAGAAATAAAGAAAAATCAGAAAATATACATAAGGGAAACATAAGGCAATGCAGTACTAGAAAAAAAAAATCCTGAAGTATAGAAGCCTGTTAAAATCAGCCTATGCCCATCAAACAATGTGGTTTGCTCTGGCATGATGTGCAACCCAAGTCCCACAAGTCAGCTCCCCACCAGCCCCAGGTTCTTGTACAGTCCAGCATATCGGTCTCACTGGTATTGATGTCGCCTGTGACCTGAACCATTTTACAAAAAGTGCAGCTTTCAAAAGAAATTGACATTTTTATAAATTAACCTTGCTACACTCCCCCGGCTGTCAATCAGACAACAGGTCCCGTTACTTCCTGGTTTGTTTAGCTCATTGGAGCAAAACTCTAGAAGCAACAATTGCCCAGAGCTTAAATTTGGACATCATTACCAAAAAAAAAATCCATATTTTGAATCTACAAAATCTTAATTGTATGTTCTTAGGCACTATCAGGAATTTTATAGAATCAATGACTCTGCAATGTATAGTTCTCATTTAGCAAATCCAGATAAGTGTCAACTGTAAACAGGAAGAGATCATGTGCATTTTCATTTATCCCCCACACGTAAAACGAATTATTTTAAATTATTTGTTGGTTAAGAAATGTTTCACAAGCCCATAAGATTTCAAAGATTCAAGAAATTCAAAATACCCAATGAACATGGGCACGATACAAATAAAGCTAATTTGCACGTATTACATACTTCCACCTTACCCTAAGGCCCTCTCCTCACTTATAGCTTATCCAATAGACAGGTGCAATTTCGGGCAATTCGGACATTCGGGTACTTCCGAGTGTCCGAATAGATGAATTGCCGAATTGCCAAATGGGAGAAGTCCCGAAATTCCGAAATACCGAATTTTCGAAGTGTCGAATTGCCGAAGTGCCGAAGTTCTTAAGTGCTGAAGTGCCGAAGTGCCGAAGTTCCAAAGTTGCCGAAGTTTGGAAATGTGGAAGTGCCGAAGTGCCAAAGCACATAATTGCCTAAGAACTAATATACTTACCCAGTGAAAGAATGAAGAATGTTACACTGTGTACAATTTTAAATAAAAAGTATACAAACATAGCCAGGATTCAGCTGTAAGCATTTGCAACACATACAACAATCAAGTAACATACATTCATATAAAATGTAAGTTACTTAGCCAGTCAGTGTAATGACAGGAATGAATAAGTAGATAACTCCCTAATTCCCTCGGTATTAGGGAGCTATCTACTAAAAGGCTGAAAGACCTAAATTTAGTATACTTAGTATTAGTAAATTTTGACCCTACTCGTTACTTAATCCACCAATCAGAGAGTTATGAGTCAAATTACACAGCTTTGGAAAATTCCAAAGAACTTTCCCACACTGTGTAAAATGACACAGAGCACTCTGATTGGTGGATTTCAAACCAACCAGAGTGCTGTGACAGGTAAATGTAGAGACTTCATTTACCTGTCAGAGCACTCTGATTTGATGGCTTAAACTCACCCATCAGAGTGCTCTGAGCCTAACTGCAGGGTGGGGCAAGGCTTTATAAGCCTTCCCCCGCCCTGCAGAGCTCAGTCTGCGCAGAGCCCTCGCCGGGTGAAGATGGATTTTTTGGGGGCGCTCGTTTTTTTTTTTTTATTGCGTCGGTTATCATGGATTTTTTATTTGACCTTTTTTGCGGCTGTAAAAAGAAGATTTTAGAAGCAAGAAAACATTGAATGGTAATTTTTTTTTTTTTTTACAGATAATTAGTTAAAGGTCCCCCCATAATTTTACTTTAGGGCTCCCACCCACCGCTCAGGGGTGAAGGTCGGGGGGGGCAATAGGTCCCCCCTTTAGTTTAAAGGCCCCCACCCACCGCTCAGGGGTGAAGGTCGGGGGGGGGAATAGGTCCCCCTTTAGTTTAAAAGCCCCCACTTGTGCGTTGCGCGTGGGGGCTTGGGAGGGGGCTCGGGAGGGGGGACCCTATTTTTTTTTTTTTAACAGTGAGCAGCCTGTTACTAGACATGCCCCTACTCGCGGTATAGCGAGTAGGGGCAAAATTTACTAATACTAAGTATTTTTACTTGGCTGAAATACCGTGGGAATTAGGTAATCTACTAAGCAGCTGCAAGAGAAGTCCCAAAGTGCCGAAATTCCGAAATGCTGAAGTTCCGAAGTGCCGAAGTTGCAGAATTTCCAAAGTGCCAAAGTGCCGAAGTTCCAAAGTGCTGAAGTGCCGAAGTTCCGAAGTGTTGAAGTGCCGAATTGCCGAAGTCCCGAATTGCGAAAGTATCGAATTTGGGAATGCCGAACGAAACCGAAAATTTTCCCCATGCACGTGCCTATTATCTACAGGAACACCTTTCTGGAACGGAGAATCCAGAAATTGGTAAAAGTCCAAAACACGATGGAGTCAAGTATAGAACAATATTGCACTCACATCCCGTACTTTGCATTAAGTTGAACTTGAATAAGGAGAAACTGATGTTCAAATCCTCCATTAACCCCTTAAGGACGGAGCCAAATGTACACATTGTGAACAAAACAAAATGTAAACAAAACCTGGCATTTGCGCTACATGTCTGTCCAACCGTAATACACCTCTTTCATAGTAAATGCACCCACCCTTATTATATATATCATTTTATTCAGGGGAAACAGGGCTTTCATTTAATATCAAATATTTAGCTATGAAACATAATTTAATATGAAAAAAATGGGAGAAAATACGAATTTTTTGATTTTTTTAGTTCTAAATTGCATTTTAAAGGTCAGTGTCATAATACTGTTTGATTTTACTGCAATAAAATACACATATTTGTATTTAGTAAAGTCTCACGTGTAAGACAGTACCCCCTATGTACAGGTTTTATGGCGTTTTAGGAAGTTACAGGGTCAAATATAGCACGTTACATTTGAAATTGAAATTCTTCAGATTGGTTACGTTGCCTTTGAGACTGTATAGTAGCCCGGGAATGAAATTTACACCCATAATGGCATACCATTTGCAATAGTAGACAACCCAAGGTATTGCAAATGGGGTATGTCCAGTCTTTTTTAGTAGCCATTTGGTCACAAACACTGGCCAAAGTTAGCGTTAGTATTTGTTTGTGTGTGAAAATGCAAAAAATGCCAATTTTGGCCAGTGTTTGTGACTAAGTGGCTACTAAAAAAGACTGGACATACCCTGTTTGCAATACCTTGGGTTGTCTAATATTGCAAATGGTATGCCATCATAGGGGTAATTTTCATTCTTGGGCTACCATAGGGTCTCAAAGGCAACGTAACCAATCTGGCTAATTTTAATGTGAAAAAAATGAAACACAAGCCTTATATTTGACACTGTAACTTTTGAAAACACCATAAAACCTGTACATGAGGGGTTATATTGTACTTGGGAGACTTCGCTGAACACAAATATTTGTGTTTCAAAACAGTAAAAAGTATCGCAGCAATAATATCGTCCGTGTAAGTGCTGTTTGTGCGTGAAAAATGCAAAAACTTCACTTTTACTGGCGATATCATCGTTGTAATACATTTTACTGTTTTGAAACACTAATATTTGTGTTCAGCGAAGTCTCTCGAGTAGAACAGTACCCCCCATGTACAGGTTTTGGAAAGTTATAGGGTTAAATATAGTGCTAGCAAATTAAATTCCCTTTACTTTCGGCATGGGTTGTCAGGCAGGTCCTGCTAATTGTAATTAATTAAGATACCTAATTATGTAAAAATATTACATAAATATATATGTAGAATTAATATATGTATATATATACGTATGTATATATATGTATATATCTATATAATTTTTTAAAAATATTTTTATTTATATATAGGTATATATATAGTGATATATACGTATATATTTATGTATATAGATATATATATTATTTCGTTCTACATGTATTTTGATATATATATATATATTAATTTCACAAAACAGTTAGAACGAAATAACACACATCTATATATTTTTTAATTATTTATTTTTAATTATTTTTTAATTTTATTTTTTAACGTATTTACATTTTTATTTTTTTTATATTATATATAAATATATATATAACAATAATTATATATATATTTAATCAGTATCAGTCTACGTGTAATTTGATATTAATATATATATATAATTATATATATATTAATAGTAAAATACACCTAGACGGTGTATGTGTGTGTATGTATATGTGTATATATATACTTAGATCATATATATATATATATATATATGATCTAAGTATATATAATTATTTTTTTTACACCATTAACTTATTTTTATTTTATTTTCAGCCAGCAGGGGGACCACCTGTCATTACAGGCAGCCCCCCTGCCGGCAATACAGAAGCCAGCTATCCCCGGCCATGTGATTGTGGGGTCCTCGCTAGGACCCCACTCTCACATGGCCGGGGGGCTTCAACGAGGACGGATGTGCCGCGGGGGGCTCCCTGGGAGTCCCCCCCACCGCGATCGCCGGCGTGGGACCGCCGGCGACCGGGTAAGTTAACAAAAACCGGAGGGCGTACAATTACGCCCGGCGGCGTTTAGAGCCGCCTATTAGAGGGCGTAATTGTACGTCCTCCGGTTTTAAGGGGTTAAAGCTAATGTCCATATTATTATTAAAATTGCAAAGATAGGAGAGGAGTACTCACTGTCTGCTTTAAAAATACATTAGCAGAATATTGCATGAACTCACCGCTAACATGTGACCCTAAGCTTGAACTTTCTAGGGTCTGAGACCCTTCTAGACTAGGCTTTGACATTGTACCTTCTTGACAAAGACCTTAATATTTAACAGGCTATAGATGTCCTGGTGTTTCTTACATTTACATACTACTACAAACAACACAAAACTTCGGGATACGGCTGAAAATGAATCTAAAAAGAACATAAAAATATACAAAATAGTGAAGTACAATTAACACACTTTTATGCGCTGTATATAGATGCACTCACAGAATTGTGTAGAATATATCGCTCATAGGGTGCCTCCCCCGATTGAGATGGGGGGCTAGTAATCCCCTGGCTCCTTATGAAAATCCTTAATAATGCTCAGGACTCCAAACGGGCAATGGTAGGGAAAAAAGTGCTTTTATTGATAAAAGGTGAATAATCACCATCAATATAAAATATAATTAAAAGGAAAAACGGTATGGTCCTACGCGTTTCGTTCTGCAAAGAACTTCATCAGGGACCGTATATAAAATAAAATCAATATACAATCATGACATGTAAAAAAACATCTCCTATTCCTCCCATTCCGAGTCCTCTTTAAATAGGGCTAATCCCTATGTCCATTGGTGGTTCCGTGCGTGGTGTCCATTATCCATCACTTGATTGGTTCCGTGGGGGAGCTGTTCAGCTGTTTCCCATCTTTCTCGCATTGCTGTAATCAAAATTGGATAACCGGAACCGGAAGTAAGGGTTGTACCGCACTTCCGCGTTCCACTTGCGTTCCACATGCGTTCCACCGGCGACTCATATGCGTTCCACCTTCGTTCCACTTCAACATTGTTATATGATCATAAAATTCAATAAAGAGCAATATATTCAATCTACTATTGAATATAGAGAAATGTACAGACATACATATTTTTTGGGGGTACATATAATCCAATCACCAAAAATGTTTTTCTTTCATTTTTCTCTTCCTTTTTGTAATATTTAAAGTGTAATATACACAGTTAAACTGTATAGTATATATTAATACTCATTAATTATTAATATGTAATTGGTGCCAAAGTGCTAATATGGAAATAATAATAAATAAATAAATCTTATAATGTTCCTATAAAAATCTCCAATATTAAATGGAGTTACACATATATCTAATATTTCAAATAATTGTAATATGGACGTATTTTAACCCATTATTTTCTTATTTTTTATTATTAGAATTCAAATGACAATAACCCAAAAATGTGCATAAAACATAAAAATGTTTGAAACAGGTATTTATATGGATCTTAGTCCAAAAAACAAACCAAGTCAATGCCTATATTAAGACCCTTTGGTTCTAGGGTACTTAACCTTATGAGACACATGACTGGGCAGTTAATTTAAATGGGTATACGTTATTTAGGAAGGATAGGAAAAACAAGAAGGGTGGTGGGGTATGTTTATATGTCAACCGTGAGTTAAAGTCAAATCTTAGGCATGTGGAGTGTGACGAGGAAAAGGTGGAGGCTTTATGGGTAGATATCTGCTTGGGGAAAACAAAGGGAAATCAATTATTGGTTGGGATATGTTATAAACCACCTAATGTAAATATTAATGAGGAAGAACAGCTGTTAGAGCAAATTGAGAAAGCTGCAAATCGAGGTAACACGTTAATTATTGGAGATTTTAATTATCCAGACATAAATTGGGAAAGATGGACTAGTACTTCAGCAAGGGGAATCAGGTTTTTGAATGTGTTAAATGACACCTTTATGTCACAACTGGTACAAGCACCAACTAGACAGGATGCTTGTCTGGATCTTGTCATAACAAACAATGTTGATCTTTTAACCAACATTCAAGTAGGGGAGCATTTGGGAAATAGTGATCACAATATGGTAAATTTTGAAATAAACTCAAAAAAGCAAAAGCAGGTGGGGTATACTAAAACATATAATTTAAAAAAAAGCCAATTTCAATAAGATTAGGGCAGCTCTACAACATATCGACTGGCATAAACTCCTTAGTGATAAAAACACTGAGGATAAATGGAAACTATTCAAACATATATTAGAAAGGTACATTTCTCAGTATGTACCATTTGGGTAATAAATATAAAAGAAACAAATTAAAACCAATGTGGCTTAGTAGAGAAGTAAAAAAAGAGATTAAAAATAAGAAAAGGGCATTTAAATCAGACAAATCAAAGGCATCCTATTTAAGATATAAGGAAGCCAATAACACTTGCAAAAAGGCAATTAAAGTGGCTAAACTAGAAAATGAGAAATTGATAGCTAAAGAATGCAAAACCAACCCCAAAATTTTTTTCAAGTACATCAATTCTAAAAAAACAAAAAATGAAAGTGTAGGTACACTTGAAACAGAGTTGGGTTTATTAGCTAATGAAGACCAGGAAAAAGCAGAAATTTTAAATAACTATTTTTCTTCAGTATATATTAATGAGGATCCTATGGCAAGAGATATGCAAATGTTTGCTGCAAAAAACTTGCAAATAACTTGTGACTGGATAACTCGAGACAAGGTGCTACAGCTATTAAAGAAAATTAATGTAAATAAAGCTCCGGGGCCTGACTGTATTCACCCACGAGTACTTAAGGAGCTAAGTGGGGAAATAAGTGAACCTCTGTATTTAATTTTTCAAGATTCTTTTGTTTCAGGTGTTGTACCGGAGGATTGGAGGAAGGCAGATGTTGTTCCTATATTTAAAAAGGGTTCAAAATCCTTGCCTGGAAATTATAGACCTGTGAGCTTAACTTCAGTAACTGGGAAAATATTTGAAGGGCTATTAAGGGATAATATTCAGGAATTCATTGGGAAGAACTTTGTTATTAGCAATAATCAGCATGGTTTTATGAAACATAGGTCATGTCAAACTAACCTAATTGCATTCTACGAAGAAGTAAGTAGAAGTATAGATCAGGGTGTTGCAGTGGATGTGATCTACTTGGACTTTGCCAAGGCATTTGATACGGTTCCTCACAATAGGTTAGTCTTCAAACTAAAAGAAATTGGTCTAGATGAATATTCCTGTTCTTGGGTAGAACATTGGCTTAAGGACAGAGTACAACGAGTTGTAATTAATGGTAAATTTTCAGGCTGGACAAAAGTGGTAAGTGGTGTCCCTCAGGGTTCTGTTTTGGGACCACTTCTATTTAACATATTTATAAATGATCTTGAAATAGGCATTGAAAGCCATGTATCAGTGTTTGCAGATGACACAAAACTTTGTAAAGTAATAAAATGTGAGCAGGATATTGCTTTGCTGCAGAGAGATTTGGATAGATTGGGGGACTGGGCACTAAAATGGCAGATGAAATTTAACATAGAGAAATGCAAAGTTATGCACTTCGGGGTTAAGAATGCACAAGCAACTTACACACTAAATGGTAGTGAATTAGGGATAACCACACACGAGAAGGATTTGGGCATTGTTATAGACAACAAATTAGGCAGCAATATGCAATGTCAATCTGCAGTTGCTAAGGCCAGTAAGATTTTGTCATGTATAAATAGGGGCATAAATTCTCGGGATGAAAATATAATTTTGCCTCTTTATAAATCGCTGGTAAGACCACACCTTGAATATGCTGTGCAATTTTGGGCGCCTGTTCTAAAGAAGGATATCATGGCACTGGAGAGGGTCCAGAGACGAGCTACAAAATTGATAAAAGGAATGGAGCATTTTAGTTATGAAGAAAGGTTACAAAAATTAAATCTGTTTCGTTTGGAAAAACGGCGCCTGAGAGGGGATATGATAACTTTATACAAATATATTTGGGGCCAGTACAAACCTTTATCTGGAAATCTATTCATAAACAGGGTTATACATAGGACACGAGGTCACACATTTAGGCTGGAAGAAAGGAGATTTCATCTAAGGCAAAGAAAAGGTTTTTACAGTAAGAACAATAAGGATATGGAATTCTCTGCCTGAAGAGGTGGTTTTGTCAGAGTCCATACAGATGTTTAAACTGAAATTGGATAAATACTTACAAAAACATAACATACAGGGATATAATTTCTAATTAGTGGGGTAATAGCTGATTGATCCAAGGAGACATCTGACTGCTATTTTGGGGTCAAGAAGGAATTTTTTCCTAGTTTGTGGCAAAATTGGAAGTGCTTCAGACCAGGTTTTTTGCCTTCTTTTGGATCAACAGCAACAACATTTCTGAGGAAGGCTGAACTTGATGGACGCAAGTCTCTTTTCAGCTATGTAACTATGTAACTATGTAACTTTGTAACTATGTAACCTATGTATCCAGAAGGTTTCCCTCTGGGATAATTTCTTGACCCTATCACCCCCTCGCCAGAATGGAAAAACTCTTTCAATACCCATAAACTTAAATTCCCTAAGGGTAAAAAAAGGACAGTTAGAACAGTGAGCCGAAACAGAATGGGTTATGATTTTTTTCCTAATATTGTTTAAATGTTCAAGTATTCTGACCTTTAAAATCCTTTTTGTGCGTCCCACGTACTGTTTGCCACACGGACATTGCAGTAAATAAACTACATAGTCCGTGTGGCAGCTAATCTCAGATTTCACTTTGAAAATTTCCCCTGTGGTGTTACCTCAAAAATCCTTAGTTCTTAACAACAATGTAATAGTACAGGCTTTACAAGTTCCACAGCCTCTAAAAGAACCAAAGGCTGGAGAAATGTTGGTGTTAGGGTGTTTGATGGCATAGCTAGGAGCCAGTAGATTCTTAAGATTCTTATGCTTTTTATAGATCACCATTATTTGAAATATTAGATATATGTGTAACTCCATTTAATATTGGAGATTTTTATAGGAACATTATAAGATTTATTTATTTATTATTATTTCCATATTAGCACTTTGGCACCAATTACATATTAATAATTAATGAGTATTAATATATACTATACAGTTTAACTGTGTATATTACACTTTAAATATTACAAAAAGGAAGAGAAAAATGAAAGAAAAACATTTTTGGTGATTGGATTATATGTACCCAAAAAAAATATGTATGTCTGTACATTTCTCATCTTATAAATACTTTTTTCTCACTGTTTGATTATAGTAATTAAATAATGGTGATTTGTTATAAGCTTAATTATAAAAAATATGCAAATGATGAAGTTACTAATACCATTTTTCTCTAGTAGATTGAATATATTGCTCTTTATTGAATTTTATGATCATATAACAATGTTGAAGTGGAACGAAGGTGGAACGCATATGAGCCGCAGGTGGAACGCATGTGGAACGCGGAAGTGCGGTACAACCCTTACTTCCGGTTCCGGTTATCCGAATGCGCCAATTTTGATTACAGCAATGCGAGAAAGATGGGAAACAGCTGAACAGCTCCTCCACAGAACCAATCAAGTGATGGATACTGGACACCACCCACGGAACCACCAATGGACATAGGGATTAGCCCTATTTAAAGAGGACTCGGGAATGGGAGGAATAGGAGATGTTTTTTTACATGTCATGATTGTATATTGATTTTATTTTATATACGGTCCCTGATGAAGTTCTTTGCAGAACGAAACGCGTAGGACCATACCGTTTTTCCTTTTAATTATATTTTATATTGATGGTGATTATTCACCTTTTATCAATAAAAGCACTTTTTTTCCTACCATTGCCCGTTTGGAGTCCTGAGCATCATTAAGGATTTTCATAAGGAGCCAGGGGATTACTAGCCCCCCCCATCTCAATCGGGGGAGGCACCCTATGAGCGATATATTCTACACAATTCTGTGAGTGCATCTATATACAGCGCATAAAAGTGTGTTAATTGTACTTCACTATTTTGTATATTTTTATGTTCTTTTTAGATTCGTTTTCAGCCGTATCCCGAAGTTTTGTGTTGTTTGTGGTTATCTATATATGAAAAGGTCGTCTTCTTTGGGTAACGATCTTGGGAGGCTGCACTATAACATTTAAGTTAAGTATTTGTATATATTTCACTACGGTTACTATCTATAGTAGTGTTTATATTGTTTTGTACTATTTACATACTACTGTCAGTTTTCTATATTCCTTGACAAAAGCTTACAGCTCTTTGTCAGCATTCGCAAAATCCTATAACTTGATAACACACATTCACAAAATAACTTGATAACACAGATGTACTCAAGAGTCCTCCTAGTTGTGCACAATGCTACACAGGTTATCCTGGCTTACCTTTGTATAGAAGATTTCTGTATTTGGGTGTGTACTATTTGTTGGCTTCACCAAGTCTTTAATGAACATGTAACTACAAAAATAGCACTATTCTCACCATAACTTTCATTACGCATAATTGAGGCTAAGGCTAAAACATCTATATAATCTTTCTGCTTTTTGGAATAAAAGCAACTTTTTAAGTTTCACATTATTTGTTGCTCTACATGCTCAGAAGACTGATTGATATTTTCATGCAAGGTCCCTGCATACCATTCACTTAGCATTACACTATTGAAATTGAAGTGGGCATATTGGCCATTAGGGACATGCTTATAGGTAGCTAATGTGGTAAAGGCATAATTTAATTTCTTTACAGTTTTTTGATACCTAAGTATGTGGACATTATCACTTTTAAGAAGACCGTAGAGGTTATGCTGAATTCTAGATATTTTTTTCTTTACTCACAGTTTGTGCAGCTTGCAACAATTAAAAATATGACTTCCTGGTTTCCGATCTGCTTTTAAAAACTGATTACAAGTCATGCACTGTAATACATCAACAAATAGCATATTTTGGATTGTTTTCAAATTTCACATCCTGTTTTCGTAATAACATTTTGCTAAAAATGAAAGAGAATGCAATGAATAAAACAAATTAAGAGGGAAATTCTAGCAACAAAGTATATATATATATATATTTTTTTTTTTAAAAGGGACGTTTTAGAAACCCAGACAACCACCAATGACGTGGTCTAGCGATCATGAACCCCCCCACCCCATCATTATAACTCAGCTGCTGAAAACATTATCGTTTTACAGGAACAGCAGTGTTTTCACTCCTCAACTTTTTAACCCTTGCAGCTAGGTACAGTGAGTAGGGCACTATACCGTTAGGCTAAAGCATTTGTATTCCTAACACTGTTGTCATGAGTGAGTCCATCCATTGAGCGACTAGTTTTAGCTACAAAATGTATTCTATATGTAAATGGCTTCTATGGCTTCTCTATTCTCGACTGAGGAACCAGGGCTACTAGACAAATGCATGAAGAGGTTATGGGGCACTTAATTTCACTTACCTAGTAGCCCTAGTTCCCTGTTCAGCACCTGCGTAATCAGCCAACAGAGGATTCCTTGTATTAAATGGTATATGCAAGGCAGCATTTTAGTAAACACATCTCTGTAGCAATGCAACATATGTCAGCTAATATACACTGCCCAGGTCAGTTATAGTTGAGTACTCTGTGATGGCCAACTTGCTTGCTCTGTAGCAAGTATAGTAAGCTGCCCAGGGCGAGATTAAGAGCCCAGTGGGCCTGGTGCTGACAATTATGATGGGGCCTAATTACAGAATCTTATCGACCAAAAACACTAAAACAGTCAAACCTCTCAAGCGTCATGTATCTGATGGAGTTGGTGTTGGAGGGAAACTCAAAGGATGCAGCTATAAGAAAACACATACTCTATGATAATTTCTTTATCTAATTTATGCTTTCATCTTTCAAGTAAATCCATACCCCTCTATCAGCAGTGTCCAGTGAAGCAGAAAGTCAATGGGCGGGGTAAAAGAGTGGGCCACTGATGCGAACCACGTGACCAGAACTGCCAAAAGGGCGAACATGCCCAAAAAGGAGGCATATCTGTCCAAAGAATTGGACGGTCAGCCTGGCATTAGTGTCCCTATGTATCACAGTGTCAGTGTCCCCATGTCGCCCAGTCCCCTAATCTCCCAGTGTCTGTGTCCCCATTTCTCCCAATGTCTCAGTGTGTTCACTGACACTAGGATACTAGGAGACACTCAGAGACATTAGGACACTGAGAGACCCGGGGACACTGAGACACTTGCAGACACTGGGAGACATGGGGCCTTGAGACACCTGGGGACACTGGGAGACATGGGGGCACTTGTGGATACAGACATGGGGACACTGGGAGACATGGAGACACTGGGAGACATGGGGACACAGACATTTGGGGACACTGGGAGAAATGGGGTCACAGACACTAGGGACACAGAGACATGGGGACACAGACACTGGGAGACATGGGGACACAGACATTTGGGGAAACTAAGACACTACGGACACAGAGACATGGGAACACAGACACTGGGAGACTAGGAGACACTGGGAGACATGAGGACAAAGACACTAGAGACACTGGCTGGGAGGCATAGGGACACAGACACTTGGGGACACTAGGAGACATGGGGGCACTTATGGACATAGACATGGGGACACTGGGAGACATGGGACACTAGGGACACAGAGACATGGGGACACAGACACTAGGGACACTGGTTGGAAACATATGGACACTGGCTGGGAGACATAGGGACACTGAGACACCTGCTGGGAGACACATGGACACTGGGAGACATGGGGACACAGACATTTGGGACACTGACTGGGAGGCATGGGGACACAGACACTTGGGGACACTGGGAGACATGGGGGCTTGTGTCTCAGTGTCCCCTTGTGTCTCAGCGTCCCCATGTCTCACAGTGTCCCCTAGTATCTCAGTGACCCCAAGTTTCCCAGTGTCCCCAAGTGTCTCAGTGCCCTCACATCTCCCAGTGTCCCCTAGTGTCTCAGTGCCCCCATGTATCCCCTAGTGTCTCAGGGTCCCCATGTCTCCCTGCTGCCTTTGCCCCATCCTTCACATACCTGAGCTGTAGTCTGTCTCTGCAGGCTGGGAGCTGCTGTCTGGACACTCAGTGTTGTGTAGCTGCTCCCCCACGGATCAGTGAGTAGAGAGAGGAAGGGAGATGCTGTAACTTCCTATCCCTGCCTCTCTCCATACACTGTGACCCCTACTGGCCGGTGCTGGTATTGCAGAGTAATCTCCGTTAATACTGAGAAAAATGTTTGCATTTGTATTGCCGGTATTACTGCAATACACTCACGGCCAGGCAGCCTCAAGTACCGGCTGTGCCTTAAAATACCAGTCAGGTGGCAAACCTAAGAGTAGTGTGTAAAAAAAAAAAAAAAATCTATTTATTTTTATTTTTATTTTTTAAATGGGCCTCTTCCATGGGCCTGGGCCTGGAGCTGCAGCTCCATCAGCCCCTATGTTAATCCAGCCCTGAAGCTGCCAGTTTACTAATTCAGGGCAGTGTGAAAATCATTACCACTGTTACTCTCATACTTATATACCAAGTATAGCAGCTCTAATCCTGTGTAAAGCAGGCTGCAGTCTCCCCTTAACCAGGGGAGATGACAATCAATGTTCCATCCTATACCCAAATCCGATGTAATGTGAGAGGGTGGTGACTAAATGGATTAGATGTTTGAGCACCGCAGGTCCTTTCTTTAATGTGCTATCACTGCTGCTAAATCGTGTAAGAGAAGTTGGCAAGACCTCTGTACACTTGTTTCCAAGAGAAGACCAGTTTGAAAAGAAATATAATTCCTTACCTTTCCCCAGATGGATAATCTTTTAATACTTGCCAAACACAGTATTCCCAAATAAGGCACAAATGAAACCCCGGGAAACTGATCTGCACAAATAACAGGCAACTCATGTAAAAAACATAAAAAGATGGATTGAAAGTGAGGCAGTTGAAGGAGTTCCGTCACTCTATATTTATTTTATAATGAAAAAATCTATGTGAAATGCTCATATCAACTGTTAATTAAATGTAATTGTTACTATAATGCCATCAAAGGATAGCAAGAAAACCAACAGGCTGCTTTGTCTTATGGTCAAAGTTTGGCAGAAGTTGACAAATTCAGAGCTGATACCAAAATCTTTTGCAAACTATCTTCTTGCCCATCATGTGGGAAGTTCTATGTTGGATTCCATGGAAGAGTATAGCATTGTCAAGGGTTCCAGAAGCTAGAAGTCAAAGAAGATCTCAAAATATGACAGGACCACCTTTATATACACAGAGAGCAGACAAATAGAGAGCAAGGCAGTAACAGCTCTGAGAGATACTAGATAATAACTAGTTATTAATATATTGTCTATGAACTATTTCCATTCAAATATGAGTTCTGATGTAAATATTAATTAAATTCTAGAATATTTTGTTTATAAATGCAGTGAAGTTTCCCATGGAGTAGAATTGGAATGAAGCAATGATTGCTGAATTTATTACCGTCGACATTGTAATATTTTGTTAAACACAATCTTATTTATTTTCTCATTAAGAAAATTTCTGTCTCTACTGATCTTGACATTCTAAGATCATTATTTCTTATGCTTGCCCTTAGCTGTCCAGGCTCTGGAA